AAAACGATTCTGAACGGAGATGATTTGTCAGTCTAGGATATATTATATTTAAATATTGTCATATATTCTATTTTGAAACAAATATTTTATTTTTCAATTAGGACGCATTTTGCATAAGGTATGGTTAATCAATTTTTCCAAAAACATTGTATGTAGTCATCATAATTCATAATACCTTATATATTATCATATAGATATACATATGTATACCTTGTCTGAGGATAAATCGTTATCGATACACGATTTCAAAAAAATTTAAAACTCAAACGCTCAAAAACTTTTCCTATAATGATTCGCAAATATTCATGGTTTTGATGAATTTTTGTCAATATTTGAACTTCAAATGCTAATAAATAAAATTGTGACTATGTATTCTTATAATTTTTTAATCACTATAAGAATAACTTATGAGGAACTTTGTATTAAATTTTCAAGTATTTTGATTGGGCCAAAAAAATTTTATCGACATTTCAAAAAAAAATTGAAAATTTCAGTTGTCTATAAATATCTCATAAAAAGTCAAAATATTTTGAAAATTAAATCATGCAAAGAAAATGCCAATCTAAATAACTGGTAAAATTTTCAAGTGTCAACGACTTATACTTTTTGAAAAATAACAAATATTTAAAATCGCTTGAGGATAAATCGTTATCATTACGCTATTTCGTAAAAATTTAAAATTCAAACGCACTTAAAAATTTTCCTATAATGATGCTTCGAGTTTTCTCTACAGCTACTTGAAGGAAAACTTACAGAAAACTTAGTGTTGTATTTTTAATCCTTAGTTATAAACACRAAAAATTTTATGATTTTTCAACTTCAAAATTGCATTCAAATTTTCATGTTTTCGGCAGATTTCGTAAAAATTTGAACTATAAACGCTTATAAAAAAATCGTGACTAACGATTTTTATTTTTTTTTTTTAAATAAGCTACAATAAGAACAACTCATAAGGAACCTTGTATTAAATTTTCAAGTTTTTAAGGTCATCCAAAATTTTTTTACCGACACTTCAAAAAAAAATTCTCATAAAAATCGAAAATTTCAGTTGTCTATAAATAACTCAAAAAAAGTCAAAAATTTTTGAAAATTAAACTTTATTTAGATAACACTAACATAAACATTTGGTGAAGATTTCAAGTATTTACAGTGATTAGTTTTTGAATTACAACCATATAAATAGGGCCCAACATACACGTGCTAAAAGACTCCAACTAAATCTCCGACTTCGTATGCTTAAATCTTTACTAGTGAATAACAAAYACACCRAMCTTAATATAAAACTACTAATGTATAAATCCCTCATTAAACCCATTTGGACCTACGGTATCCAACTGTGGGGAAATGCCAAAAAATCAAATACAAATCGTATTCAGACTTTTCAAAATATAACA